TTCCGCAGATTTCTTACAAAACGCCGCGGAACCGAAAAATGCCAGAGTTTCCGCAGCACTTTGACCTGCCGGTACTTCCGCGAGGTTTCGAATGTGTTGTATCTCAAGATGTTGTGTCATAAACATCTGGAGTGCTTTCTCGAACATCATTCAAATTGCAGAGAACAGTGAGCGGGGCCCGCATTCAAGAGAGTAAGGTTCAATCTTGCTTGGGTGTTTTCTTTTGCTGTTGATTAGCATTCTCCGAAACTTCCGCAGCACGAACTTTCGCAGGTGACCCGGCGGAACTTCCGCAAACGTTCTGCGTAAGTTCCGGTCACTTGTTGACTCGATGAGCGAATGTGCACAAAAGAAAGTGCGAAAAGCACATAAAATGCGAAAAATGTGCACATACCTCACGACCATTGAAATACCATTTGACTGATGTAAAAGAATCGCTTTTTGTCTTCTGCGCACAGTGCAGACTTAATTCTGAACCCAATGGCCGCAAAATTTCCGAAGAAAGAGGCTTGAGAGTTGGTAATCCTAAACAAACATTTTATCAAAACTCCAAGGAAGTTAACTCATTGCCTTCCTCACCTACTACATTGATCTTCAAAGACTTCTGATCGAACGCCCGTCCAGACTCGGCCACTACCTTACAATCTAATTTATGCTCCGAGCGGCCCTGAAATGACAGGAAAGATCGTAAAGACGATAGCATTGTAATTCAATTACTGGGAACCACGCGAGGTTCAAAAAAAGGAAACTAGAAAAAAGCAAGATTTGAGAAGAAGGGAATAAAAAAACTGGAATAAAAAAATTCGAGGAAAAAAACTAGCGAAACGAGTATGGCTCACTTTCAACAAAAGCTGTGGAGACACAAGAGTGAGACGTCGGTTGTTTTGAGACAGTTCAACACCATTCTCAGTCCCCGTTATGGCAGTTTCGTCAAGATACCATCGAGTTCGAGCTCCATTCCTGGACATAGATGCTCTTTCCAACAATATCAGCAGAAAAAAAAACTAACAGAAAGAAAGACATGGACTATTACGTTATAGAGATTAAAAAATTGACTGAGTAAATTTTCAAACTAGTTACAAGTAACACTTCAAGTGTGGCAAAGGAGTGTCCCAGACATATCCAA